CATTTCTCATGATGTACTCTGCATATAGGTTAAATAAGCAGGGTGACAGTATACAGCCTTGTCATACACCTTTCCCTATAAGCAGACTTATACATCATCGCTTGGAAGTAAGTCCAGTGAATGGCTCACTTCTTTGTACGCGTAGATGTTTCTTAAAAATCTTGTAAATATTTTTCATTTATCCCTTTTGACTTTCCTCTACAGAGGCAGGTTTTGAGAATTTGATGGCTTTGAAATAATTTCATACAAACATCATGTCAGTTAAGGAGGATCTATTTTGGTGTACTAAATCCAACTTCCAAGTTTCTATTTTTCTGATTCTGTGTAATACCAAACAGGGCAAAGGGATGAAACTTTCTATGTCATAAGCAGAGCGACATTAGTTAAACTGAGCAGCAGGTATAAAAAGCTACTTCTCGTTATGCATTCTTATTTTTACAATAAAATGTGGCATTCTAGTTTTTTTCTTTCAAATAGCGAGCTGTCATTTTTTCTTTAAAAGCTACAGCGCGCCTTCCCAAAACTCAATGAAGAGGAGTCCCACCAACAAGAGAAATGGATGCATCACAGGGACACAAATGAAAGAGTGTCTCTGTCCTTTTATATCTCCACGACACTCAGAACGAGTCTCCCTCAGAGTCTTCCTCCGCGGCCCACATGAATGACGCGACGGAAGTACAACCTTTGCAGCTCGGAAGGGAAAGCTTTTCAGCGAGTTCCGTTGGCTTGAGTCAGGCTGGATTGCTATGGCTGTTTCTCCTTATGTGCAGGCCATGCAGGAGCTGTTCCGAGCTAACACGCGGAGCCGTGAATTCCCTGCGCACGGGGCCAAGGTCCACTCGGTGGCCTGGAGCTGCTGTGGCCGCCGTCTTGCCTCCGGCTCCTTCGACAAGACCGCCAGCGTCTTCGTGCTGGATAAAGACCGGCTGGTCAGTCCAGGGGCGGGGGCGTGGAAGAAGTGGCGAATCAGTGACATCAGCAGCTGGAGAGGGCGGCAGGTCCATTGGGCTCTTGTCGGGGGATGTGGGGATTGGAGCATTTTTGGAATTGACGACAATATCTGCCTGGAAGTAAACCTGCTTGAACTCAATGGAGCTTGCTTTTGCTCAGTTGTTAGTCGCTTCCGGCTGTTCGTAACGGATACAAATCATTTTGCCTGGATTGTCTGTCAGTAATTCCTTCTTTGAGTTCTCACAAGCTCATGCTTGTGTTATCAGTGACGGTGCTTTCCGACCTTCTCTTCCAATTACCACTTTTTGATTGCTTTCGATTTTACCAAGTATCAGGCTCTTACCTACTGATTCCTTCCTTTCCTTTACATACTGTATCCAAAAACATTTAAACTTTAACTTCATTGTTACTGCTTCTACTGAGTTGTATAATTTTACTTTGGTTGTTATTCAAAGATTTGTTCTTGAGGTATTCTTGATAATTTTCTCCAGCGTTGCTATTGAAAAGCATTCATTTCACTGGCCCAGCTTTCATGATCATATGTTACAAAAACATGGTCTTGACAGTACATATCTTTGTTGTCAGTGTGATGACTCTAATGGAAGAGAATATAGGTAGTCCTTGACTTACGATGACTATCGGGACCAGAATTTCTGTTGCTAAGTGATGCGGTCGTAAAGCATGACCACATCGCTTAGCGATGGCAATCCCTGCAGTCCTGGTTGCCATTCTTAACTGAATCCCATGGTCGTTAGGCAAGGCAACTTCCTGCTGGCTTCCCACAACTAAAGTCAGTGGGGAAACCAGCAGGAAGTTTTAAATCCCAGGCTGGCAGGCAGGTAAGTGGCTGCTGTCAGGTGGTGGAGGGGGTGAGGGGGTGTGCAGGGTTGGGGAGGGTCTGTGCTGGGTGTGCAAGAGGTGCTGTGTGGGTTGAGGAGGATGCGTGGGGTTGTGCAAGAGGTGCCATGCAGGCTGGGGAGGGTGCGCAGGGGTACAGTGCAGGTCAGATAGGATGCATGGGGGTGCACGAGTGGCTGGTGCAGCATGAACGCAGAGGGGCTGGGAAGGGGAGACTGAACCCAGGTGGGGGAGGTGGGGGAGACTGAACCCAGCAACTTGCGACTTTCCCTGCTGGCTTCCCCACTGACTTTCTGGGGAAGCTGGCAGGGAAGGTTGCAGATGGCAGTCACATGATCTTGAGGTGCTTGGCAACCAGTCGTAAGTGCAAACAGTTGGGGTGGCTGTAACTCTGAGGACCAGCAGTAACCACCATTTGTTCAGCGGTGTCGTAACTTTGAACAGTTGCTGAATGAGTGGTTGTAAGTGAAGGGCTACCTGTATATGTAGCTGAGGGTTGAACTGTTGAGTCCTTAGTGATCTCTGAGCTTGGTTATTTGCTTCCAGTTGTTTCATTATCCCCACCAACACTGGCAGGGCAAGCTATATAAACAGGGAGCAAACCCCACACTCACTAGCACTGATGATGTTACTTAGTTGGGTAGTGAAACATGTGTAAGCAAACAAAGAAGTTCAGAGAGCAGCAAGGAATCCACAGTGTAATGACTTTTCATATCAATAGTTTGCTTGGATCTGTCATGGTCATTCTCCCAAGTAGCAAACATATTTTTATTTCATTGCTGTGGTCATCATCCCTGTGAGTTTTTGAGCCCAGGGAAGTAAAGTCACCTGTTAGCTCTCATTCCACATATAGTTGAAATATGGATTGCAAAATCTTGAACACTGTTTTATTGGTATGTGGCATAAGTGCAGTTGTCTGGTAGTTTGTGTATTCTTTAATAAAACCCTTTTTTAGTATTTATTTAGAAATAAAAATTGATCCTTTTAAGCTCAGGCCACTGTTCTGTTTCCTACACCTGCTTACAAAGCACAAGTAGCATTTCGAGAACATCATCTTGTAAAGTTTTAAACATGTTAGCTGATAGTTCATCAATTCTTGAAGATTTGTTATTACCAATATTCACTTTCCAACATGTTTGGCTCCAGTTCGTTGATCAAATCTTTATATGTATCTTTGATCTTGAGATCTTTTTAAATACAGTTCTTCTGTATATTCAGGCTGTCTCTCATTTAAATGTTGTTTCTGCCTTGTTTGTCTTTTATCATCTCAATCTTTGCAAAAAAGATCCCATGATTTCTTAATTTTCTTAAATAAATCCCTAATTCTTCCAGTTTGATTGTTATCCTTCACTCTGTTTATGAAATCTAATACATTAAATTGATTCTTTACCTTCATAATAATATGGGATATTGCTGAAGCTGTATGTTGTTGGTGTGATGATTTTGTTCTCTTTAAATTGTAATTTTGCAAGAAAGAGTTCATGATGAGAGCCATAGTCAGCACTAGGTTTGGTTTGGCTGACTAATAGAGTTTCTCCATCATTGCTTGCAGAATTTGTAGTCAGTATGATTTCATTGTATTCCATCTGATGATGTCCATATGTAAAGTCATTTTTTTAGACTGTTGGAGGAAGTATAAACAATGGATTTTCTTTATACCATGCTTTTGGAATTATAGAATCCATAGTAATGACCTGGATGAAAAGGTTGAGGGCATGATTATCAAATTTGCAGATGACACGAAATTAAGAAAATTGAATGGTGATTGCCTAGGCCAGGTTTTTCAAGCTGTGTTCCATGGAACCCAAGGTTTCTATGAAAACCTGATAGGGTTCTATGAGAAACTAAGGACAAAAAGTTTACTTGAACCCAGCCAGGGCAACCATGCAGTCTTTTAAGGTAGAGCGGAAAGGATGGGGTATGTTCAAAAGCCCCACCTCCTGGGGGGCTCATTTGTGTTCATGATAGCTCATTACTCTGTGTATCTGAAAGGCAGGCAATAAGAGTTCTGGGAATATTTTTTTTAACTACAGTTTCTGCATCCTGAAAAAGTTTGAAAATCCCATGTCTAAGTCAGTGTACTTGCGTGTCCGTTATGTGAAAACACCCATAAAACAACTTTGTAATAGAGAGATGCTTTTGAAAATGACTAATCACTTCCAAGTGCTGAAAGCCTGAGAAAGTACTTCCTAAGACTTATGTTACCAAGAAAGTACTTCGTGACTCAGGGCTGGGTAATGTTTCAAGGGTTGTATGCTACAAGTCAACCTTCTGACCTTCCACAAGCTTGCAGAAGGCCATCCAATGATATGGTGATATTATCAGGAGCCATATCTTATTTTTGAGTTTTGGAGGGCAGATGGGCGAGAAAGGAGTGGTCTAAGGGAGGCAAACTATGTCACCCTGGCTTTAAAACCCTGAAATTGGTATTTGTTATGCCAATTTCCAGCTGGTATTCAGAAGTTGGGAGGAGGAAGGGTGGGATAGAGGCAGGTTAGGCCCCAGAGGCCTCTTGCTCACATTTCCACCCTTAATTTTGGGAAAGAAAAACACAAAAATGACTGTTTTACTGATGAAATTCTGTAGCAGAATATCAGAGGGTAGATGGGGTAATAATAATAATAGTTTATTAAACTTGATGGCATCATCTAGCCGACCTGAGCTGATCCTAAAATTTTAAATACAATTGGACTGGGTTAGTATTTGGATGAAAGATCACCCAAAAAATCTTGGGGCAGTAGGATAAACTGGGAAGCTAAAGAACCATCCTGGAAGAAGGCAACAGCAAGCCACTTCCATATTGTTATCAATAAACAAATTAATTATTGTCTCTAAAACATCTGGGAACAGTTGTTTACAGGGGAGGACTGTAGGACAAGGTAGTAGAGCCTCTTCTACCTTACCTAGCCAACTGTTCTGTAATTCTCTTAAAATGTACATACAGAAGGCTTGAATCAAATCCTGATCAGTCAAAGATATATAGTGATATTTAGATGATGATGAAGTGTATGTGATAAGATGATTGTGAGTCACAGAAGAGTTTGTTGAAGATTTTTGTGTTTTTTTTCCCTTCAGGTTAAGGAAAACAATTACCGTGGCCATGGAGATAGTGTGGATCAGTTGTGCTGGCATCCCAGTAACCCAGATCTGTTTGTCACGGCATCTGGTGATAAAACCATTCGTATATGGGATGTCCGAACCACTAAGTGCATTGCCACAGTGAATACGAAAGGTATTTCTCATCTTAATTGAGTAATAGCTCTTGGGGGCAAAATAACAAATATATGTTGCTTTTAAGGGAGGAACAAGTTGATTCTGATGGTAATTTTTACCAAATCATTCTCTTTCTTCTCTCTTTTCTCTTCAGATATATGGCCAAGTCTGAAATGCACTCTTACAATAGTTGTATTCTAAAATTATTAATTTGAGGTACATGCTCCAAGTTTTCTTCAGTTTCGGTGCTATCAACATTGTTATTACCTAGTTAAAACTAATATTTTCTTCTGAAATATTCTTTGAATATTTTACTTCAAAATGGATGTCATTCCAAAAGCTCAGCTACATAATGATGCGACTGATATTTTTTTGCTGTTGCTCATTGTCATGTAAAGACAGCATGGAAGGATAGTTGTATAGCTATATAGTATTATATGTTCTATAAAGTTGTATTTTCTCTTTATGATCCCTACTTTACAAATACAGGGGCCTGTGTGTATTGTTCTTGCTCCAATTAGTAACTCAGATTTGTTTTTTCTTCTAACTCCTTTACAGGGGAAAACATTAATATCTGCTGGAGCCCTGATGGCCAGACTATTGCAGTAGGGAATAAGGATGATGTGGTCACATTCATTGATGCTAAGACGCATCGGTCCAAAGCTGAGGAGCAGTTCAAGTTTGAGGTGAATGAGATATCTTGGAACAATGACAACAACATGTTTTTCCTCACCAATGGCAACGGTTGCATCAACATCCTCAGGTACCTTCACCATGGCCTTTTCTAGGAAGGACAGCAAGTGAGTTGGCTGTCTTGTCTTTTGGTCTAGGTGGTGATGGGAAGATGTACTTGCCTTCTATGTAGATGCAGCATTTTTTAATATTTTTTCTTTGTTTTACCTTCCATGGTTGCTTCTGAACATTTCAGTGATGTTATTCAGCTAAGCAGCATCTGCAATGCTTTTTGCAGTATCTTCTCATTTCAGGATTGTAAGCAAATAGAAGACAATATATGTAGCTCAGGTTGAACTGTTGGGTAATTGGTGCTCTCTGAGGTTGGTTGTTTTCTTGCAGATGTTTCATTAGCAGACTAGCCTGCAAGAAAACAATCAAGGTCAGAGAGCATCAAGAACACAACAGTAATATAAATACTATTCTATTTACATGGATATCTCTGAAGATAATATTGCTTCCTCAGAAGAGTTCCTTCTGTTCCATTTACTGTTCCTGATATATTAAGATTCAAGATAGCATGAATTTAATTCTTCACCTCTAAATGGTGATCTTTGCTACGTCTTTTCTTCCTCAACTTAGGTGTTGATTTTGCATTACTCTCCAAGGAACCTGAGATGGCACACATGGAGATGTCCCCTTGTTTTCTCCTCTGAGCAATATTCTGAGAGGCTCTTGAGTTAAAGTCACCTAGTGAGCTACATGGTCAAGCAGGGATTCGTATTTCGTTTACCCTAATCTCTGCCCAATTTTGACACTAATGAAAGGTACTCAAATGAAGGGCTATTAATCAAGTACTGTATTTTAAAAACTAAATACAAATATCAGATTCTATTTCCCCTTTTTAATCAGTTTATCACTAAACCAGATGAGGAATATTGGGATAAGATCTCAGATCCAGAATATTATGCAGGCATCCAGATTTGCTAGCAGAAGAGGGATCTCACTATTAGGCCCTGCTTAGATCTTTGTTGTGCTAAAACAAATTTCTTTCTTGCATTTGAACTGACTTAAGTAAGGGCAATTATTATCCTGTGTGTTCTCATTTCCTTATGTGAGCAAATCATGAAGCAACCTCCCTTCCTCTCAAAAGATCTCAGTTTTCTTTGCCTTTTGGCTGTCTTTCCAGATTGGGATAGATATACAGTGGGGCAAAAAAGTATTTAGTCAGCCACCAATTGTGCAAGTTCTCCCACTTAAAAAGATGAGAGAGGCCTGTAATTTTCATCATAGGTA